ATAAATTTTTACTAAAGAGAAGAAAAAGTAATTATTGGTTAAATATTTATGTTGTTACACTTCAATATTTAAGTAAGAATTTTTCTATAAATGCAAATTAATAAAAGCAGGGTCAATACTTGAAGTCAAATAAAAAAAAAAAAAAAAAAAAATTTCACGACAGTGATACACATAGAAAGTTTAGAGTATATGGATTTATGATAGTATAGCTCATAATTTTGCTTAGATAAGCAGATGGATATTCTATCTATTTATCATCATGTGAGACATTTATACATTGCAATATCACAAACTTATACAGGTAATATATAGACATTGAATTATGGAGAATAATGACAAAATTGCTCTCTTTCATGTATTAGTAGATTGCACTGAAAATGGGTTTAAGAGATCAGTATACTGCAAATCAATATTCATCTGATGATGGCTAAACAAATTTCTATCACCTAGTCAACATTAGCACCCAGTGTTGTAAGTATGGATGACATAACAATACTGAGTAATAAATGTTAACTCAGATACTGACTTGACTATTAGACATTTTAAATAAACAAATATCTATAAGTTTCTATAATATCAAAATCTACTACCTAGCAAAGAAGATTTAATGATAAATAAACAAATGCAGCAACCACTTGTACTAACTTTAGAAAAAAAAATATATATATATATATATATATATATATATATATATATATATATATATTATTTACAGTGAGGCTCACCCATTACAAGGCTCAGAGGCCACTCAAGGTTGAGAATTACATTTGGGGGCCATTTGTATGTATAGGAGTGGAAGATAACGGTTCAGAGGATTCAAAATCTGTAGATTATATGACAGTAAAGGGTTTTTAGGAACCTCAAACTGTGTACCTTTTTCAGTTGAATTATTGAATTTTTTTTTGTTTTTCTTTAATGGCCTATCAGCCCTTTGCGGGCTATTTAAAGCCAAAACATATTTCAGATTGTAGGAGAGTGTTTACAGTACACAGTGTTCCCAAGCAGAACCCCATCTAAGTACTGATGACTCAATGATGCTTAATCATTTGAATCAGACTACTAGTGAAGAAAAATATAACCAAGTGTGCACAACAATCCATGCAGTTATGACAGGAAATAGAAAAATGAAACTACCCTTCTCTATGGACAGAGGCTGGAAGAACACTGAAAACCATAGTCAGAGGTGAGTCAACAAAATCTGGTGTAATAAATCATGCATGGTATGGAAAATCATGGTGGAATGAAATCACAATAATAAAGACACAGAACATTAAGGAGTTAGCATACATGATACTATCAGACAAGTACCTAAAGTTGTAGAACTTGGTGCTACAAGAGAGATAACAAATAAGCAATACAATAACATGATCTACGCACCATTAGAAATCATCTATGATAAATTTGCTTCTTTAATATCATACTATTAATTCAAAGGTTCAAGTTTACTTACAATTTTGTTTTTTTTCCCTAAGTGATACATTTCTTAATTTGAGAAATACACACTGTTTGATGTCAATGCTAACATTTCAAAATGATAAATGCAATTGTGTATATATATTTATTTTTATGTAAAAGAGTATATTACTAACATGGGTACCATCCAGAAAGGTTTTGAATCATTACATTGTAGGTTACTTGTAACAATGCACATACCATATTATTGAAAATAAATTAATATTTAAAAGAAAATATTTCAAACTTCAGAACAATTTATGCCTGTAATGGAAGGAACATCTAAGTTGTATTTCTGGATTTGTGTAGTCAACTATGCATGCACTAGCAACAATCATAACATACATACTCATAATATCAATCTTTTGATGATATCACATCAGTAAGAAGAGACACATCTAACAAGATAAAAATTATAAAAAGGAATTTATATATATATTATACAGAAAAAGAAAAAAAATAGCAAAATACACTAAAAATATGGGGATAATGTTCTTTTTTAAAGTTTATGTTTGAAGAAAATCCATAAAAATGTATAGTGAAGTGCAAATATTTCATTAAATTCTTATTTCAAAACAAAAATGGTAAAAAAGCTGGGGTGGAGTAATTATTTCATAACATTTTACTCCTTATACGTGAAATATTCAGGAGGTAAGTGTAAGGATATGTATCATGAAATGTATAATCACAAAGCTTATTTCATTTGGTAATGCTTTGGTATATTGAATACTACAAAAATTTATCAAAAGTGAAAATGTCTTGGAGCAACTACTAAGAGGTTCTGAAAAGTTCTCAGACCAATCAAAGGGAATGACCAAGAGCCACAAAATTTACATGCTATTCAACACAGTCACCCAATAGTTTAACACACTTGGCACACTGTTTAAAAAAAAAAAAAAAAAAAAAAAAAATCATATTTGGTCATTAAAATAATATTTTTAGGTGAGCTAACCTGAGAATTTTCCAGTACCCTCTCATAGAGCTATACTGAAAGTGTAATTTCTGTTTATAAGTTTTAGAGTTCAATCTCTAATTTTTGTTACATTTTTTGAGTCAACTATCCAGTAAATCCATTGAAATTAGTTTAAATTGAAATATTCTTAATGTTTCATCCATTAAGTATTCATTTAGTTAAAAGATAACACAAGCAGAGAAAGCCTAATATGACAATGAAATCATTGTAAATATGAGAAGTATGTAAGAAATTGTAGAAGAACTAACTTTAGTGCACTAATTAAAAAAAAAAACAACTCTAAAATGAATATTACACAATACTATATTTATATATATATATATATATATATATTACAAACAGGGCAAAATTTTTAGAAGCACACCAAATTACTCTAAGGTAATAATTCATTGTGAAAACACAAATTGTGAGGTGATGATATTTTTAGCAGGAGAAAATAAGGTAAAAATCAAGGATGATACTATTGCATATGGAAATGAGTATACTTGCCATTCGCTCCCAGGATTTCTAAATAGATGAAAAGGGAGGAAAAAGGGGGAGAAGAAAAAAAAAAAAAAAAAAAAATGAAGAAATAATCATTGTAACATCAAGCAGAAGCAAAAAAAAATTAAATGCAGAAGCAAACAAACTTAAAAAAAAGAATTAAATGAATTATTCTTTTTCTAAATGATTAAGTTTGCAGAACTGGCAAAAAAAATAAAATAAAAACAATGACATGTAAAAGAGAAATTGTAAATTTTAATTCTGAGGCAATCGTTTGCTAATGACAAAATATGTTTAAAATCTTTCAACATTTTAGTTTGCTACATTAATCTAATTTTCAATGATACAATGATGCATGGAGTAATATTTTTCTGAGTGATGTTCTGTAATAATTCATGCGGTGTTATTGTGAAAAAGACATTAATAAAATTGAATTTTTCAACACTAGAAAGAGATAAGATAGCCACTTGCTTTATTGTATTAATGTAATTATTTGTGTATAATAACCACCCCCAAACTTTGGGATCGAAAATTCTGGGGAAAAAATATAACACATACATCCTAAATTTAACATTTGCTAAACATTTTATGGAATTTGTAACAAAAGAAAGAATTTTTATAGTTTACATTAAGTTTTGAAATACAAAATTTGTATTTAAGATTAAATTCAGAGTCATATTCACAGAGAAATGCAACAAGTTTCTGATGACAATAAGTTCACACTAGGAGAAACAATGTTGTGGCTAATAGCTCTATTGTGGCATTAAAAAATCATGGACATTATTACATCCATGTGTATACTGGTTATCACTTTCAAATGTTCTGAATGCACAAATCAGTCTATGCTGAAGTCAAAGGTAGACAGAAGGAAATCAACAAAATTTCTAAAGTCTGAGCTGATTGTGCAGGTGAAAGAACACAGAATGGTTGGTACTGGAATTAGCACAATTGACATACATCTTAAGGCATTGGAAATAATGAAATTTGGAAAGATGTCTAGCAACTTGACCAGTGTTGAGTGGCACCAGTGCTTTATGAAGTGATGTGATTTATCAGTTCATTGACATTTTTGCATTGCACAGTAATTGCTTACAGACTTTGAAGACAATTTACCAGTCAACATAAATTGTCATGACATCTACTTTTGATATAGACAGCAGTGAAACAGACTAAAATGTGCTTAATATTTATGTGAATAATTTGTTTAGAAACAAAAGCAGTGTTTAGTGATTTAAATTCTTTGTTATACATTAGTTAGTTTGGATCATAGATATAATTTTACTCATACTGTCCCAAATATGGCAATGCATGTGGCCAAAAAAAAATTAGTTCTCATGTATAAAGCACATACTGGCTTTTGGCTTAAGTCTAGAAAAAGTGCATATTATACACTAAATAGCATTTTAAATATTTTTAATCATTTCATCTGATATATTTGAACTGGCAAGTCTTAAAATGTTTTTAATAAACACATAATTATGAAAAACAAAACATTTTTAGAAAGCAATTTGAAACATCTAAAGTAAAAAGAAATTAATCTTTCATCTAAAGAACAAATGTCCTTAAAAATGTGAGCTGAAAAAATCTAAAGTATGATTAGGTCTTGGAATATAATAATTTTGTGTTTAGTAAACCTTTTTAATATATATATTCATTTATAGTCTTAAAATATATAAATAAATAGAAGTATTTAAATCTAATGAAAATAAAACAACCTTACATTAAATTATATTAAAGCTTTATAATATTGATAAAAATATGACAATAGTTATTTAAATCAAAGTCTTGCAGATATTCTGGTTTTGTTGTTCTCAAGTTTTCATAATACTTTTGCTGATCTTTTTTACCATAAATAAACTTTCTAAACATCTCCAGGTGATATAATGAACTACAAAATATTCTCAGATGGTGAAGAAAAAACCTCTGTATCTTTAAAATATCTAAAATAAAAAAAAAAAAAATATAAAATTCCTTTAATATCAAGAGCAATGGTAAAAAATATGGAAAAGAATAAAAAAAAATTCAAGTGACAATAATCATGAGTCTATGAAATACTGGGAAAATTTTATAATTTATCCTGGATTTAACTCACCTTTCTCTCTTCAGATTTAACTGTCCGAAGGAGTTTCCGAATAGCATCAATCCAGCTGTGCATATCTGTGGGAGAATCTGCCTGCAAATACATACAAATAGCATGTTGTATAAAAAAGAGATAAGATCACTTATGGCATCTGTAGCAACAGTAGTAAAGTATAGCATTTTCTTAGGCAATAGAAAAGGTTGATCTGGAGAGAAAATTAACAACATGTATGCTTTTATGGCATCTTTTCTCTTAGCTGATAAAGTTACCTGTTTATACAGTCAAAAATATATACAAACAAAAATCTAACAACATTCAGATATATTGAATTTGTGTAGGATCTTCTGACATTCAGTTGGTCACATCAATGTAAAATTTAGGCATTTTATTCAAATTTACACACTACTTTAAATAATGTTGCAATGAATTACAGAAAATGTTTTTTGGTGTATTAAACAGCAGAGATAATTTCCCATGTTGCCTTTTTCCAGTAGATTATCAAAATATGAAGTCTGATCAAAAAGTGTGAGACTGATGCTATAAAAAGAAAACTAAAACACATATCAATTCAGCATTTAATCTCCTTTGAAGTAGTTCCCTTCTGAAGACACAAACTTTATCCAGTGATATTTCCATTGATGGAAGCATTCCTAGAACTATTTTGGGATAGCCAGCAAATGCCTTATTGTATTCTCTAGGATTTCCTAGATGTTTTGAAATTTTATTCCTTTCAATAGGATTTAATTTTTGGAAAGAGGAAAAAATTGCAAGGGGCAAGATCTGAGGAATATCGTAGTTGTAGGACTCGGGGAATGTTGTGCTTGCCTAAAATACTGTTCCAGACATATTCATACTCAAATCACCAGTGAGACTGAACTGAACTGTAACTAATGTTCACATGCTCTAACAACTGACACGTGGTGATTTGATGGTCTTTCCAAACAGCTGTACACACACCTGTAATGTTTTCATCAGTTTTGCTGGTCGCATGTCTCCTACAATGTGCATCACTGTTGCCATTTTGTCGGCCATCTTGAAATATTTGAACCAATTGTACATTCATGTTTCCTCTCCATACACTTTCTGCAACTCTGCAGGTATCACAAAACTTTTGGCAAAATTTGATGCCGATTCACTGCTCAATTTTCTCTACCATGGTCACTGATGAAACCTCTTGGTATGGTGAAATGACCACACTCTACACACTTTCCTTCCAAGCACTGCTATAAACAATGGAAGTGAGAAAGAACATTATCACTTAGTGCATATGTTCAACAGAATTCAAGGTCAATCTGTGTCAATTGGCTTCTCTATGCATACATTAGTTCTGTTACCATTCCCAATACTTTTTGATCAGATCTTTTATTGTTGAACAACTATTATTCTATTGAAATTGTGCAAATATCTTAAGAGATCTTTGATTCAAAAGAGAAAATTATTTCTAACAAGATCCAGGTATTGCATAAATTATATCGAGGAGAACAGGTTTTTACACAGCAATTTAAGATTAAAAACATATAAAGAATTTAAACATGCATCAGCAAGTATAATACCCGCATACAGTTATATTCACTTCTAATTTACATAATACATATTACAAAATATATACTGAATTTATCTTAACACTGAATTAGTATTTACATGTGCATGTAATCTTCATATTTTTTAATAGATCAAATATAATTCTATATCATTGAAAAACACTTTAACTGAAATTTATCTTGTGTAGAAAACGAACTTAGTAGTCAATGCTAATAATTTTTGACAATTAAACATTGTGAAACACTGAATAATTTCAGTACAATTTGCTTTAATAATGAGCTCGTGTAATTGAATTTTTAAACAAACAATAAAGATCTAGATACAACATTGCAAATGATTGTTAACTCAACTGTAAATATGTAATAAAAAGATATGAATAAGCACTGAGTTATTCCAATATTTGATCAGATTTTGGGAAGAGGGTTAGGCTGAAAGCTTTTCATAGATTTGTCCTTGAACACAATTTTATAACAATAAAATCTGCTACTAAATTATTTCCTTATATATCTACTTACTTGTACATAGAATATTCTTTTGGATGTAAGTACTTCAAACAAATTGTCTCTGTCAGGATGGATTCTGAAAAGTAAAATAATCATAAAAATAATAGCTATGAGAACAATTTTAAGTCCATTTTTAACTTATAAAAATTGCTAATTATTATTACTAGGAGAAAATAGAATTTGGTTAAGTTTTATAAAGTACAAATAACTTTTCAGCAATTTAATTTAAGAAGGAGTCAGTGTGTCTGTGTCTGTCTCTCTCTCTGTATAAAAGAAATGTTTAACAGGCTTATTTTATTTGGCCATTTCAAATTAGCTTAAAATTTACCCAACAATTAACTAAAAAGAACTGAAGCTTCATTTTAAATCTGAGGAAAAAAATGCTAATATATAAATCAAGAGAAGGCTGAAGAAACTTCAGAAAATAGGCTGAGTCAGATTTTTAAAAAATTCCATTCTTTACCAAAACATAACTTACCCTTGTGATACTCTGACTTCTAATAAATTACTCTTGGGTATTGTTCGTATGGGTGATAAAGACTGAAAATGGAAAAATAGAAATTAAATCTAAAGTTCATAATTACATTAAAATATAGTAGTAAAACACTGTGTGACACAATAGGTCCCCCATATGATCAGCTGAAGGCATACAAGTGAGCCCTAAATTATGTTATCAGTCAAAAGCGTCAATTTTAATGGTTGAGTTACAACATGAATTTTTAGAAAAATAAAAGTATGAAGTGCTTTACAATGATTTTTTTTTAAAAATACATACATATAAAAGGAAAAATGTTGACATAGTTATGCATATTTTATGAATAAAATGTATTTGGGTTAATATACATTTTTAAATATTATTCAATAAACTTCATACTGAAATGTCCACTTGTATGTCTAATCTTATTAGTGATATATTAGAATTTTTATGCAAAAGAATGATAAGATAAACAAATAGGAAATATTTAACAAGTCATTGCATCTGAAACATGATTAACTAATGATAATCAAACACAAATGTAAAAATACCAGAATAATTTCTTCTTTTTCTTCATATCTTATTCTCTGATGAAGCTTTAATAAAAATGAAACATTTTAGAGTGATAAACGTTTCCTATTTGTTCTTTATTTATCTATCATTCTGTCAGATTCTGATCTATATTTGATTCCAATTCATATAAAAGAATAAAATAAGAATTAATATATAATTTATAAAACATTTTTTTTAATATACACAAATGCCACAACATAAATAAACCCTGGATTTCTCACTTACATGTTCTGAATGATAATATGAAATGCCTTGATCTGTGAGTACAAAAAATCTTCTTTTCCAATTTTTCCGCTGTAAAACAAAACAAACATATATGTATAAATCTCAGCAATTGCATTAAAATGAATGAAATTAAAAATATAAATCTACTAATGGATTCTATAATAAACTTTTGCAGGTTAAAAAAAAAAATGAACATACTTAAAATGTTATTCTATAATATATATATATATATATATATATATATATATATATATATATATATATCACATACACCATTTGTATATTCCTTTTCTTTCATATAAAAGTGTACTCAATTTTAAATATTTTTAAAAGAGCTTTTTAATACAGAATATAAAATTTAATCAATCAATTGTTATTAAAACATGTATTTCTCATTCATATATCATTATAGTTGTTTATTGCAGACACCAGCATTAAAAAGCACTGAATGTTTGGGATTACTTTCTTATATATTTAAGATTTGTTTGAATCTTAGTAATGGTTATGAGTTATGCAGCACAAGTTTTATTGGCAAATTAAATCTTTTCACAAAAATCTACAATATATTTATATGTAATGGATGAGCTCTATGGGCCCTATGATGTCAATCATAATTGTTTCTGATGCTGAATTTATATGAATGTATTTTTACTCTGATCATGAAAAGGTTAGGTTACTTCAAAGTATAATTGTTTAAAAAAAAAAAAATTAAAAAAAAAAAGTAACTATGAAAAGTTAATTTTTATTATAGTATTATTTCATCAATAAACAACAATTAGGATGATAAATTTTAATACACAACCAAATGTACTTTAAATGATTCAATTATGGAACTACAAACTGAAATCAAGGATCCATTCTCAGTTTCTTGATAGTAATATACTTTGTATAGTGAACTAAATGAAGGGAACTTGATTTTAAGCCACTTTAAAAAGTGCATGTAGTCACTTGGCACAATTATAACAATCATAATGAGTGCCCATGAACATTTATTCCAAAATATTTTATGTTCTTGTTTTAACATGTTTTTATTCTCATATATATATATATATAAAGCAACCTCCTTAAATATTTCATAGGGTCAGAGGAACATCATTTTTCTTTATCATTTGAAGAAGAGAAATGAATCATATCAAGCTTCTCTCCATCTCAAAAAAGACATTAGCCTATCTCAATCTTCCTTCACTCTTTACAACTGTTAGGAGAGAGAAAAGCAGAATAATGTGAGAAAATAAAATGAGATTGAAGAGGTTCTTACCACTGCTCCTTGCTTGACTGCATAACCAGACTTATGAGCTGCCAGGTGACAGGCAGGAATCCCTCTTCCCATATCATTCTCATCACTGTCTGTACTGTTACTTAGCTCATCAGCACTGGTCTACAAAAGAATAAAACAAGTAAGATTGACAGGGAGATAAAAACAGAATTTGAAGGAAAAAAAAAAAAAATAATGCAAAGGAAGTGAAGTAGTTGTTAAACATTCAATGAGGATTATTATGCAAAATCCAATATTTATGTGTATAAGACATTAAAAGAAAAACAACTAAAAATTAGACAATTGTAGATTTCGGACTCAGATATTTTTTTTTTTATCAGATTATGCATGAGATTGGTGCTTTTTATTTTTTCAGTTGCTAAATCAATCAGTTCTTTTTGATACTTATTGATTTGAGTAAATACCTAATCTAGCCAAAGACGTGAGCATTTCATACCTGAAATGATTGAATAGCACCAACAAAAAATAGTTTAGTGTAATTGAGTTATATCTTATATATTTACTTTTCATTAATGTTAAATTCCAAATTACTTGTAATTATAGTTAGTCTTGAGAATTTAAAATTTTTCAGATAGACATATTTTTAATGCATTTTCCAACCCACTTATTTTCTTTGCTTTAATGTTGATTCACAGTTTGGTTTTGTGGGAGGGTATAGATTTTTTTGTGTATGCGTGAAAACTTTCTTTTTTTAAAGTCAGGAACAGTATTTTCATGTCAAGTACATGCTTGATTTTGATAAAATCTTGAAACCAAGTTTTCTATCTGATAGTGCTAAGAAATCTGCGGAAATGTCTTTAAAACTAGACATTTTAGGTTCCAAGAATGATTTGGATAATTGAATCCATTGTACCATTTATATTGTTCCCACAACATTCTGTCTGATCTATTCAATAGCTTTTTCACAAACTATCCATATGGAAAGAGGTGTTTTTTCCCAGCAGTTGCAAACTGCTACTGTTTTCTGCTTTGCATTACTGGCAAAAGACACCCTCACTTTACATATGGATGAGTTTTTTGTGCTTAACAACACTTCACCATCAGTGTTATATCATATCACAAAAACACAAGGATAGTACACTTGAAGACTATACAATAGATCAGCTGAACTATATAAACAACACAAAAAGTAAATTCAGTTGTTTGAATAATTCTTGGAATCATAATTATTCTCAAAATTATAGACAACAAACATTTATGGTTTTGAAATAAAAATTAAAATGTGCCATCTATGAATATTATATTAAAAATAAAATAAAATAAATTTTAGTTAATAGGATAAATTATAATTTTGTACTGCACAGTTAAGATATATATAAAAAGTCATTATCCTTTTCACTCTTCATTGTATTTTTCTATTTCTTTGGACAATCTATTATACAGACTTCATCAGGTAAAGTAAGTGTGTGTGTGTATATATATATATATATATATACACAATGAAAATGAATCAAATATAAATTCAAACATTGATAACATTAATTTAAAAAAGTTCAATACAAAAGTAGAGCTATAATTCTTTATTATAAGTTATTAAGTTCAAACATACATATTTCCACTACAAAAATTCATTAATGTTTCAATGAAACATAACACCTCATCAGGCATTGGTAAAATTATGGCTATTTTTAATAATACTAACAAAACAGCTCTTCTCCCCCCCAAAATTATATATATATATATATATATATTTTAAAGAAAGATAAACACGAGATATAATCTCAAAAAGAAAAAAGACACAAGAAATAGCTGAAAAAAAGAAGAAAAAAAAAAGAAGGAAGATATAGTCAGTAAAAAGAAAAAGAAAGAAAAATAAGAGATAGAAGAGAAGACCCATGATATAATCTCTTTTCCAAAGAAAAAGAAGAGACAAGGATAAATATGAATATGAGAATGATATAGAAATGAAAAAAGACAAGACCAGACATGTGAATTGGTTTAACCCATGAAAATCATTTATGTAAAGTAAGATGTTATAGAAAATAGATTTAAATATTACTGGAAATCATGTTTACTTGAAAGATTTTGGATACATTGTAACATCAGATAGACAGTTGTTGTTTTCAAAGAAGATGCAAGATATTTAAACAATAAATATACATAGTATTTAAATAAAAGGACACTATAAAAACTAAAAGAAAGAATAAACAGGAACATATATCGAATTATGAAAATTAAGAAAATTAAATTGAAATAGTAAAATCAAAATAAATTATATAAATTATAAGTAAATAAAAATAAAAACTTACTGAGACAAAAAGATACATAGATCAAATACATAAATCATATACATAATAAATATTAAATAAAACTATAAAATATAAATTAAAATTAATAGAGTATAACTTAATATATATATATATATATATATATATATATATATATATATATATAATATAATATAAATAAATACACACACACACACACACATATATATATTATATATATATATATATACACACATACATACATAGATAGATACATACATACATACTCACTCAGAGTAAAAAAAAAACAAAACAATAGAAAATGTTACAATATATAAAGCTGAAAATTATTATGAACTAAATTTGTTACATCTAAAAAGTCAACTCGTTTGATATTAGCACTTATTTTTACATTAAGATTTAAAGCTTTAATTTCCTTATGTATCAATTTCCTCCTAAGTTTATCAACTTTATTACCAGTAGGGTTTTTCACAATCATGAGACCATCTAATATAAAGTAATCTCTTCATAGGCAGTAAGATTATACAACATAAATAATCCAACCAAATTGGAAGATTCCACAGAATCCAACAATCCCACAGAAATATCAAACTTATTGTTAGAATATTTTACCCACTGTTATTTTGTGGATAAGGACAGATTTCCTACCATTCATAATGATGTTGATCTCTTCACACAAAATGTCTAAATAAACTTTAGCAAATTCCAATGCCATTGTAAAGAGGTCCTCAGATATTGAAGGATAAAAGTCCACTATATCAAACTGGATGAAGGTACAGTTGTTCTTATTGTCAATGTTTTTAAACCAGTTAATGACTTCAGTGGTGCCGAATGAGACCGAGTTGATTTTTAATTTGTTGATTTACATATTCTAAGATAACTTTATTAATCTTTCCAATCTTCGATCTGGTTGGATATATAATACTTGTAGGTAGTTTGTTATGGAAATGTTTATATCTCTGGTCTTTCTTCTCTTATTTTTCTTTCTTCTTTACTTTTTTTGGCTACATCTTGTGTCTTTTATTTCTTTTTCTTTATGAGAAGATTATATCTTATGTCTCTTTATATATATATATTTTTTGTGGAGAAGAGATGTTTTATAAGTATTATTAAAAATTGTTATAATCATCATTTTACCACTGCCCGATGAGATGCTATGCTGCATCAAAACATTAATACATTTTTGTATATCTATATATATATATATATATATATATATATCTATATATATATATATATATATATCTATCTCGGACTAAATTTGTTATGACTTGATGAAGTCATTAAAGACTATTAGCATTCTACCTCATTTTGGTAAACCACTAGAGGTCTTAATAAATGCTGAATTGGTTAAGCATCTCATATTGCAGGGCCTTTTTTCAGACAAGATTCCACTTCTCTAGATCAACTGCTGATGTATTAACAATTATTGCAAAAAGTGTCTATCAAGCTTTAAATAAGAATAGTGAAGCTTGGGCTGTTGCTTTGGATATCTTGAAAGTGTTTGACAGGGTTTGGTATCCTGGTCTTCTTCCCAAGTTGAAAGGTTATGGTGTCTCTGGACATATTTTTGAACTGATCCAGTCTTTCTTATATAATCACAAAATGAAAGTGTCCTGAATGGCTACTCTTCTAGATCTGTTTGTACTAATGCAAGTGTCCTCCAGGGCTCTATCCTTAGTCTTATTTTGTTTTTACATCTAATATGCCTCAAGTTATCATGCTAGAGAGTAAAGTGAATAAAAATTCTCCATCCCACACAGTATCTTTATTAATAATTCCTTCTGACTGTTGTCTCTTAATATTTTTCTTATAAAGGTCTAAATTTAATCTGTACTTTCATACACACTAAAAATATTCTAAAAGTAATAATTACATGATCAACAAGCATCTTAGCACATTGCATATGATTAAAGAAATAAAAAGTGAATGCTATTTCCAGTAAATCATCATCTCTAAGATTTATGGATAGATTAGCTATCATACAAAGTATACAATGGCCAATACAAAGCAATAACCAGATCTAAATTTAAATGGATTAAAAATATTCCAAGGATTATGTTGTCATTTTTTTTATTATATGATGCATCTGAAATTAAATTAGCTATTTATTAAGTTTAATCCACTAAAAGACCAAATGGAAAGAAGTAAGAGTGGAAAGACTGAAAATCAGCATTTCCTAGCTTTTACTGTAACTCAAATACCAATCACTGAGGTTGGTTGAAATATACAAAGCTAATTAAACCTCAAACAATCCAGAAATGTATGTGCTGCACCATTGCTCTTTTTACTCCCTAGTGAAAAACAGACATGTACTATTCTTATTTTATAACATAACTCATTCTACCATTGAGTCAACTACCTGCAAACAAATGAAAACATTCCAATTTGACCTTAACTTTCAACTATTGACCTTTTATGAATCCATTGCACAAATCTCTATACTAAATGTGCAGGTGACATAATGGTTATCAGTACAGAAAGTGGAATTGAAAGGCAGACTTCAAATTCTGGCTGTGGTTATTGTGTTCACTGTATTAATGCTCTTTGGAAAAGTATGAATCCATTGATCTTCCCTCTTTGCTATGGGTAAAATAGTAGTGCTGAATGGACTCTTTATCCTTGGTAGATCATCTATTCTAGAAAGATAACGGAATTAAAAAATTGTAGAAGGCAATAGGAAATCACTCCACTGACTTTATCCAAAACAGGCATGACAATGTACAGAATATATGAATACCTCAGTTAATTCTCCAAAGTTTTGTTCTACAAACATTACAAATAACACTAGTACCCATTTTTATTTTATAGAAAAATCAAGCAATGTTGTACCTAAGAGATTGAAGAGGTAATCATTGAGTTAGGAAGTAACTTTCATACTTTGTAAAATTCTAAAGTATTAAGGCACAACAAAATGTCCTTAAATAAATTTTGACAAATGAAAAACTAGATAAGAAACAAAAGTTTTAATTTTTTTCAACATATTGAGTCATAAATTGAATATTAATACTATATTTTAAAATAGATTTTGTGGGAACAATTAACTCATTACTGATCTGACAGCCACTATCTTATTTCAAAAAATAAAGACTATGTCAATATTTTACAAGGATACCCGTTGCTGAGTAGGAGTATACAGTAAAAAATAATGCCTGTTTTCCCATCCACTTGTAAATGACACTATACTCATACTTACTGCTGACTGATGTGTTCAGAAATGAACTCTTGAAATTTAATAAAGGCACATGCATAAAATAATGAAATCTCAAGTATTGACTGAATAAAGTAATGTGGTGTTAGAAAATATATTTCTAATTTAGAGTACTTCTTTGAAATTATTATAAGAACTGACCTCTTGGGCAATTTTACACACCACTCCACCAGCCACCTGTGTTCTGTAACTGGCCTGAGATAAGTCACCATAGTGCCATTCCATTGCTTCCTGTTTGTAGACCTCGGATTTTGGTACCTAAAGAATTAAAAGAAATGATTAACACAAAAACAACATAGAAAAGCCAAAATTTGCATAGGCAACATTATAAAGTGTGTGTGTATATATATATATATATATATATATATATATATATTCAAGAGGGTAGAATCCAGGTAGAGCTCAATGTCCAGGACAGAGTAAGAATATAATATAAAAGGCTCAAACACTAATATTCCATGATTATAATTTATTACATTGGAATCATAATCACGATCTAATTCATCAGACCTACAAATTCAAAAATTGTATTTGTAGGTCTGATGAATTGGATAATTGTAATAAATTATAACCATGGAATATTAGTGTTTGAGCCTTTTATATATATATATATATATATTTAAAATTAGCAGAATTGATATAAATATCACAACATAATATTTAAATAAATTCTGTAATCATGTTGTCACTTGATAAAACTGTATCAAAGCATGAACTAAAAATTAGTCAATAACTAATAAGGAAAAATTGTGACAAAAAATAGAAATTTTTGTATAGTCTGATAATTATAATGAATGAAATTGATTAAGAAGTTGCAATATTTTTCATATTTAAAAATCAAATTAATACTTTTATCCTTACTTTGACCCATTTTCGTATTTTGAGCATAAAATGTTACTACAAAATAGAACATTATTTTTGGATAAGAGATCAGCAACCATGAAATAGCTTCTTTCTTGCAAATAAAGAGAAGTTAGTTAATCTGTCAAAAATAACTAAAACTATAAGTTGACATTCATTGCATTGTTATTTTGTGTAGAGCAAAATTTGTAAATACAACTACAAAAAAAAATTGAAAAGAACAAAACTTGACAAGATACTTAAAAAAGTATGAATTTCTTAAAAGATCAACATAAGCTCAAAATTCATTTGAATTTGTCTTATAAAATTATATTTTGGGTTCCAAATATGAGCATAAACATTTCTTAGTGAAATATCCCCCAATCAAATTCTCCAAACTAAAAATAATACATAGCAAATAATTACACAGTCTTCTTTTCAGGCTAATATTTGTCTAACATGCAAATAAAATTATTTTTTAGGGTTTAGTATCCTGATAAGGAAAACAGTTAAATCAAGTTTATAGTATCTATATAATACTAAAACTCTAATCTTGTATGCATGTATGTTTGTAGCAAAGATACAGCTTGAATGATACAGTGTAACCCGGATATAAGAGAGATTTTCTCTGGTCCCGTCCTCCCCGATATAAGAGAGTTCGTTTTGAGTGACAGTGTGATGTCGTAAATTGGTCAGAGGTCAGTTAGAGAGAAAGTGAAGTTCAATGACTTAATCTTGACTAGTCTAGAGTCACGGTGTGTCCAATCTGTGTGTGTAGGAGACACCCTCTACCTTATGATTTTGGTTTGTGTGTCTAAGGGTTGTGCCGCCCGCTTTTTTGCCGACTTTGCTTGTCGTTGCATTTACTTGACAGCACTTTCACTTTACCCACTGTTCTTTTGAGTCAGAAGTTTATCTGTTTGTTAATTTTGCCACTGAAAACTGTTTGCTTGCAATCATTGCGATTAGTGGCGTCGGCATCTCAACGAAAAACTCTGAGCATTTCTGAACAGTTGGAGCTCATCGATGATGTCAAAGTGAAGAAACTCAAACTGGCCGCTGCAGCCAAAAAGTACGGAATCGGTTATTCAACAGCAGCAAAAATTCTCAAGAAAGAAGACGATCTCAGATCTTGCATGCAAATGAACGGAAACACTAATTGCAAACGAAAGCGCCAATCCATGCACAAGGACATTAACGAAGTGCTTACACAATGGTTTATGCAAGCATGTGCTCATGGAGCTACCATCACCGATCACGTCATCAGGCAGAAAGCATCACAACTGGCCGTAAATCTTGAAGTTGATTTTGAACCAAGCAATGGCTGGCTCATGCGCTGGAAGCAGGCCAATAACGTTTCGTTCAAAAAATTTCACGGCGAATCAACGTCAGTAGATCACGGTTCTGCCAACGAATGGGTGACAAACGTTTTGCCACAACTTTTTTGTGGATATGATCCAAAAGATGTTTGGAACTGTGATGAAATGGGAATTTTCTACAAAGCCATGCCGTCTGGATCTTTGCGATTTGCCAGCGACGAACAGTCAAATGGGACAAAAGTTCCCAAAGACAGACTCACGATGCTTCAGTTCACAAACGCTTGATTGAAAAATGATTGCTCAAAATCGAAAGATTGTTCTGTCTTTGGACAATGCAACTTGTCATAACTTACTGCCGGGTACAAATCTGTCAAACATCAAATTGTCGTTCATGCCACCAAACACCACCAGTCTCATTCAACCTTTGGATCAAGGCATCATTCGTTCATTCAAAGTGTATTATTGTCGGGAACTTGTTCGAATGCAAATCGCAGCGATCGATGCTACACCGCCAGTGCCGCTGTCCGAGGTGGCCAAGCAGATAACTGTTTTGAAGGCCATGCACATGATGAAGCGAGCACTTTTCATGGTCAAACTGTCAACAATTCAAAATTGTTTTAAAAAAGCCGGCTTTGTCATTGAATCACAGGCTGAAGTTGAAGAAATACTCAACGAAAATGATCAAGTTTCTCCACTATCGGGCATGGAGCAAACAGATTTTTTGACAAATTTATCAGCTTTGACGACCGTACACAATATTATGGAGAACTGACTGACATGGACATCACACGTGGTATAAAATCGGATGATCAAGATTTTGACGAAGATGATGATGCTGAAAGCGTAAGTTCTGAAGTTTCTGAAAGTGACAAACCAGTGCCAAATTCTCTGGCTGCATTGAATGCACTTGAAACTCTGACAGCCTACTTTGAAGCAAAAAGCAGTAATCCTGATGGCGCATTGAAAAGTGTATGAAAGTGTTCATGATGTTAACAAAGAGATTTCTGTACAATCAAAAATGACTGACTTTTTTAAGAAAAAGTAATTTTTGATTGAATTATTTTGAAAACTGATTGAAAATGTATTTTTGTCTGTGTTTTTCATGTCTATAACTGTTAAATAAACTATTGTTCTGTACGTAAAAAGCATTATATGAAGTGTTCCCATACTTACCTAAACAAAATAGACCAAACCCGGATATAAGAGAAACTCGGATATAAGAGACTTCTTCTCTGGTCCCGACAACTCTCTTATATCCGGGTTACACTGTACCAATATAGGAGCATATTATACCTTGAACTGCTGTCGAGTGCAGCATCAAATTTCATTAAAATTTGACAAGAGATTCTTGAGCTAGAGCTGTTTTTCAGTTTTTACAGCATTTTTAATGGGAAATTCAGTATTTGTTTTTGATACACATTCTTATATCATTCTACACATAAAAAACACTTGCATATTATATTCCAAAAATTATGTGTGTGAAAAATAATAAACATTCACAATACATAACATTATTAAATAAATTTAAATATACATAACACAACATATATTTATACAATTCATTACACTTTATTAGAATTGTTTTTATAAACTGATATCTTGGATATTTGGCAACTACTTGATAGGTAAAGAGGCTATGTGGGTGTGTCATTGTAAAATGTAATCTGCATAGCTGGAAAATTGTGTCATATGACTTGATAGTAAATAAACAGATGCATGCTGTTTTGTCGGCATTGTGTATTTTGAAATAACTATTAGGAAGAAACATGTATGTATAATAAAAAATAATTATTTTGAAAAAAAAAAAAAAAATACCTAGAAAAAAAATGAAGCTAATTGCACAAAAAGATGGCATCTATATTTTGCTATTTCAATAAATATGAATCTACTTAAGCAGATGATTGCTGTTTGTTTTTTCTGAAAGACCTTAAAATGATTAAAATTGGTATAAATTGTCACCCCTGAGATTACTATTACTTAAATGGAATGGCCTTTAATGTGATATCAGGTTGTAATTACATTCTAAAAAAAGTAAACATTTCCCCGTGTTTGATCTCAGTAATATCGTATAATATGTGCAATAATAATTACAATAACTTGTATTGCAAATACAAATTAAAATATGTATAATTAATAATAGAATTGATAATATTGTTACTCATCATTTTGTATCATGAACTGCTGTTAAAAGGAGCCCAATGGTTTTATGAATGGTCTAGTTATTCATTAAAGCATATACATGTATGTAAACTGCAAAAATATTACCTATTAAAAAATTAAGCAATGTGCCTCTTCAATTCATAAGTAGTAGCAAAATGAGCAGATATGCAGATATTATATATTTTAATTTTTAAATTGAAGCCAATATTTTTAGCCACATCATACATACTAGCTAATAAGTACATTTTACAACTAATCAAAATTAACATTTTGTGATTATATTATGAAAAAACTTCCGCTATTAAAATCTTACATTAGATCTTAGTTTTAAAAGTATTAGAAACAGAAAACAAAAGAATCCTGCATCTTTGAGAATGCATTCAATTAAACTTTTTAACATTTTCAAATAATTTCAAAATTCACCTCTCTATAAATTTTCTAATTTGTTAAAGTTCAAATCCTGTCATGTTCATTCCAAATCCGTTGAAAAATAAAAAGAGCTGAATTTACAACTTGAAATTAGCTGCTTTTCACATGGAATGGGTTTACTTAATTCTTTAGAATTAAATAAAACGGATGGATGTAAAAAGTAAAATCATAACTTGAATTGTTTTTCTCTTTGATCTTAAATGTGTTCCACAGTCTTTTATAAGAATGTACAAAGCAAAAAAGTAAGTGTTGAACATTTTTGTTTTTTTTGATCATCGTTCTTTCATTCAAATCAAAAGCAATGGATTTGAACTTTATGTTGACATCACCTCTGCTGGAGTTCTGACATCAAACAACACAACAAATATATTTAAGTTCATTTGGCACCGGCTAAGCTTCTTTGATATTTCTACATTTTTTTTTTTTTTTTTTTACTATTTACTATTTCTCCTCTTTCATTTATTTACAACCTCTTTATTTCTTCTGATCAGTCTTTTTCTTCTGTTTTGCTTTTCCCAGCCATTTTTTTTCCACTTTCCTACTCATAATTCCAATTCTTGATTCCATGTATTTTTCTCTATCTTCTACTTCCTCATACTTCTTTTTTTTTCCTCATTCTTTTCTATTCTCTTTGCTTACTTTAGCTTTCAGTTCTATCCTTAAGATTTTTCTTCATTTAACCTTTATGTTCTCAGTAGGATTACTTCTTATCTGTCTCTTTTCAATCTAGGTTGCTACCATTACCTTTCATTTAACAAAGAGCTATTAATCAGCAAATGATCATTCAACTACTGGCAAAGGAAAATATAATTCAGCTTCAGGTAAAAAGTGTTAGGTCATTTTTACAAAGCTAATGACTCAGAAGACAAGGTCGAGTGCAAGAATATTCAAAAACATTTTCTTTTGAAACTAAGTTAAAAAGATTAGAAAAAAGATTGTTTTGCAAAAAAAAATCAATTCAATTATGAAATAATTATGTGTTGGGAGATTTATTAATTCAACTTTGTATGCACCCCAAATTTAAAAGTTAACATTTTTATAAATAAATCTATTAAGATGAATGTCTACACACACTAACCAAACAGAAATAATTAATTAAAATAACCTCTGAATTAAATCTTTGTGATAAAAGTGTGCATACATTTTGTAGAACTTATTTTCATTAAATATTTTTAAAATTTAGTGTTGCTCAAGTTTTGCAAATAAGTTTCAGAAATTAGTTAAGTTTAAAATAAAATATAGTTCTGGAAAGAATTATGATTTTGTCAAAGCAAAATAGTATAACTGTATATGATATTTCACAAGATTACAGCTTCTTTAAATTAACACAATCTTTCTTTAATGCATTTTTTCTGCAAAAGTAATTTTCTTGTAGTAACTAGTTATAAATTTTGTGCAATATATAAACAAGGCAGAAAAATAGTTAAAAATTTCCCCAGATATACTGCAAAAGATTGAAATATACTACTATCTAAGTAAACATAATAGAAGTAATGCTGTCCCAAAAACAGAATTCCAACAAAAATAGGAAACAATATTGAATGTGTGGACTAATACTTACAATAATTTTGCTGGCATTGTTTAGAACATCAATCCATTTATTCATATCAGCCTGGTCCTCAGCTTGAAGGAAGAAGCGGCGTCCTGCGAAATTCACAACTAACAACAGAGAGAGAGAGAGAGAAAAAAAAAAAAAAGAACTATGAAAAATAATCATTTAAAGGAAAAGTTAACATTAAGATTCTTACTAAGAAAACTTGAAACAAAACTCTTTCCACAAAAGAACTAATAAAATATACTTTAACCTTTTACCTACCATGCTGAATATATCAGAGTAAAACTTTGGGAACTGAAGGTCAAAACAATGCATAAACTGCAATATGACATTCCTAAAGGACCCAAGTTGCAAGGAAATGTACAAAAACAGAGTTATGAACAATTATAACATGAATGAAACTACAAATTCAAAGTAGAACATGCCAAGAGAAGCACTAGTGACAATGGTGAATGAGATAATACCAAGAAAAATGAAATGAGAAATGAATGAATGGGTGACAAAAGAAATTCTATAAATGATGAAAAAGCAACAATTCCAAAGAATACACTAAATACAGAAATTAAAAACAAATGTAGGCAGGCTAAAGAGAAATGGCTCAATGAAAAGTGCACTGAAATAGAAATAAATAAAACAAGTACTCACAAAAGAATAAAAGAATTAACAGGCTCTATAAAATCAAGAGAAGGATTACTGATAAGAAAAGGAAAAATACTTCAAAGATGGAGTGAATATGTCAGTGAACTTTTGCACAATGTGAGAGTGAAACCCACGATATTTAAAATATGGAAGGGCTGGAAATATTAATTCTGAAAATCAGCACTGCAAAGATGAACAAGAAAAAAGCAGCAGGTCGTAACAAAATGCTCTCAGCCTTAGATGACTTCAGCATTGACAAGATCACACAAATAATAAACGAAATATATGACAGTGGTGATATACAAGAGGAACTCAGTAAATCCATCTTTGTAGCATTACATAAGAAACCAGGTGCAAATGAACAAAAAGTCAGCTTAATGAGCCACCTAACCAAACTAATGTGAATCCTGATGGATAGAGCGTGAAAAAAATATTGAACCAAAAATAAGACAAGAACAGGACACTTATGTCAAGGACACTGGAACAAGAATTATGATATTTATGATTAGAATGATCAATGCAAATGCAGAAGGATGTTTTATAGATTACTAGCAGTAGAGCCGGCAGTGGAGGACTGAAAAATAAAATTGACAAAGATTATTGTTTAAGGTTGACGGACATGCATGTCTTAATTAGTTTTTTTGGTTTTTTTCTTTTTTTTTTACGAATTGGTCAAACCCAAACAAAAACATTGTTTTCAATCATTATGAGTCTATCAATTGAATAGAATTTTATTATAAACAATTGTCTTGTAAATGGAATTTTTAAAGCATTCTGAATGTAAAAATAAAGAAAAAAGTGTGTAAGACAATAAGAAACACTACCTGCCAAAAAAAGTGAAGTTTTGTTGAAATCGGTTGAAAAATGTAGGAAATCCGATCCAATATATAAACATACAGACACACACACATAATCTGCGTTTTATAATAAGTAAGATTTCGACAAATCCAAAAATCGTGCACTGCAAACGTAGACACAAAAAGGGGAACACCCAGTAAAATGAGTTCAGATGTTACTAAAGGGGAACTCAAACTAAAAAAGTGGAAATTTAAAAAGGTAAACCAAGGTAAATCCAAAAGGAAATGGGGTTTTAGCACAATTGGCTAATGTGTGTAGGGTTGGGTTGGAACTATAAAACAAAAAAGCAGCTAGAACACATAATCAACAACTTATGTGTCCAAAGTTGGCAAATAAAAGTAAGCCAAAATGCACGCGGGCAACAATAAATGCAAAAGTGTGAAAGCATGCCCGAGTCACGCAGTAGAGATGGTTGACCTTGAGTGCACTTACACTTAAGCTGACAAGGAGAGAGAGACGTGCCCACCCTCTATTAAACCCGTCGGCCAGCGAAAGAGGAAATCAGGGTAGCATCGCTATCATTAAAGGAGGGGGGAAAGAATCGGTAAAAGTGACCGTGGCCTCCCTATACAAACATTAGGTGAATGAAGAGAGAGTGACAATGCCCACTCCCTCTTAGCAAATGCGAGAAAGAGAGAGGGACGTGTCCACCCTCTATTAAACCCGTCGACCAGTGAAAGAGAAAATCACGGTAGATATTGCTGTCATTAAAGGAGGGGGAAAGAATCGGTAAGAGTGACCGTGGCCTCCACATACAAAGATTAGGTGAATGAAGGGAAAGTGACAATGCCCACTCTCTCTTAGTGAATATTGCGTATCGTGTTGCATTAGTGTGTGTATGGAGGCCGTCTGTAAGGGGAGGAGAAGGGGGATGACCCTGACGCTTGAAAAGGCACCCATGTGTGGACAATTATTGAAGTTTAAAGTCAATTATGAATCGAGGTCCGCTGATGAAATGAAAAAATTCTCGTAAACCCCGAAGCAAGACACAGACCCTCGTAAAAGACTTCGCCGACAAAAAAAAGGAATTAAGCAGAAAAGTCGGGTACAAGGTAAGTACTGTGTTCTTTCCTTAATAATTATCATCTTCGAAATATTGAGCCCGACTATCAAGAAGCATGTCGTTTGTTTTTGTTTATCAGATTTCTTACGGCGGCATTTTTAAATTATTTCTTAATACTTTCTTTTAAATATTGAATTAATTTCAAACAGAACCAATTCCTTATAGATGCCTTGTACCAAATTGCAAAGGGAATTATAAAAACGACCCTAAAGTACGTGGAATTATCTTTCCCTAAAGATAAAGAATTATCTGATGTTTGGATTCGTACAATCAGTAGAGATTGTTGTTTTTTTTTCACCTGCTAAATTCAGCAGTGTGAGTATTTTTTTATTAAAAAAAATAAGTAAATTTTATTGAAACTTTAATGGTAAAATTAATACCATGTCTTTGTGATTCATGAAAAAGTTAAGACATTTTTTTACGAATTGGTCAAACCCAAACTGAAACATTGTTTTCAATCGTTATGAGTCTACCGATTGAATAGAATTTTATTATAAACAATTGTCTTGTAAATGGAATTTTTAAAGCATTCTGAATGTAAAAATAAAGAAAAAAGTGTGCAAGACAATAAGAAATACTACCTGCCAAAAAAAAAAAAAAAAAAAAAAAAAAAAAAGTGAAGTTTTGTTGAAATCGGTTGAAAAATGTAGGAAATCCGATCCCATGTATAAACGAACACACACACACACACACACACACAAACTGGATTTTATAAGTATAACTCGATATGAGTTGTCACCCTTTCATTCTCATGATGATGCTTCTTAATCGTGTTTTCAAATTGATTTTGTGCAAAAACAATTGTGTTTTTCCAATTTTTGGTACTGTTAGAACCACCGCAAGGTAATTTTACGTAGTCCTGTGAAGTTTTGTTGAAATCGGTTGAAAAATGTAGGAAATCCGATCCAATATATAAACGTACAGACACACACACATAATCTGCGTTTTATAATAAGTAAAATGCAAAAGCATTGGACATGGTATAGCAGAAGGATCTATTTGAACTGTCAGGAAAGCTAGATCTATTTGGAAAAGATGTCAGAATAATCCAGAACTTGTAATGGGAGCACACCACCTGCAAATGGATAGAAAATGAATTGAGCAGCTACACAAAAAGGGGGCATAAGACAAAGATGTGTTGTCTCTTCAGATTTATTCAACTTCTATAGTGAGGCTATCCTAAGGGAGCTGGAGACCCTACCAGGATTTATTATTGGTGTGTGTGCATATGTGTAATCTTAACAAGATAGGTAGATGACACTGTGCTGATGGCTGATACAGAAAGAAAACTACAGAACAGCTTAGACAGAGTAGCAAAGGAAAATGAGAAAAAAGGACTGATCATCAACTGCAAGAAGACAGAAAGCGAAAAATGCAAGCTACAAATTGGAGACATCAACATCAAACAAGTATATAAGTACTAAGAAACAAAAATTTTGTTAGAAACAAAGAAAAAAGTGCTAGATTGCTATGTGATATCCAACATCTTATATGGTAGTGAATGCTAGACAATCTTCCTGCAAATGAAGAAAAACCTAGAAGCAACAGAAATGAAAAACAACTTAAAATTCCACAGATGAAGCAAATAAGCAATGAAGAAGTCCTAAAGAAAACAACAACAACAGAAAGAACACTTATACCCAAAACCAGAAAGAGACAGATGAAATTTCTTGGGCACATAATGAGGAATGTGGGCTTAGAAAATTTAACCCTCACAGAGCATATTGAGGGCAAGAGTGATAAGGGAAGGCAGCGAGCCACCTACCTAATGAACTTATGGGGATGGGTGCAAAAGAAGAAACACTGCTACGGGCCAGAAGGGATAAGAGCCATGATTGCCCATATCCTGAAAGAACATAGCACATAAAAGAAGAATGTTTTTGAGAGAATTCAAAAATGACAAAATAAGCCCCTCAAGTTTTAAGTTTAAAGATCTTAAAACTTGTCATTATATGATCATTTCAGGTTACATATTTGCAATGAACTCAGTAATGTTGTACACATCTAAATAGTTGTTTTATATTTTTAAAAATTATGCTCAATTTAAACTGGTTTTGTTTTTTCTACAATCTTAATATAGTTTACAAAATTGAGAATTTTGCAACAATTTCTTACAAATAAATTTTTTTTAATACTTTTATGAACCAAGTTGAGAAAATATTAGACCCATTTATCATAAAAAAACATTTTGTATTTATATCTGTTGAAAGGATAAAGTTTCATTTTGTTTCAAAACAGCATTTGGTAATTTGCATCCTGTGAATATTCATGAAAATAATCTAAAGGGAATTATTTTAAGTTTAACATTGAAAATATCTAAAGATAATATATATATATATATATATATATATATATATATATATATATACTGAATTTATTCAATAGCATATATAAAGCATATACATTGAATTTTCAGTGTTCTAAGAGATCAGAAAGGGAGATTTTAAAAAATATAATAAAATGTAAAGCATTTTCCTTACCACCATAGTCTATTAGCTATTAGCTTTCTATCAGCTGAAACACATACAAAGATCATATATGTATAGCATAGCCTCAAAATGGGTTTATTTCAGAAATAATTCTTTAATGAATTAATAGCAAAAATGAGACTGGACATTAATAGGTTACCTTATTTTTTTTTAAAAGTAAAATTCTTCATGTGTTACTAACAAATGTATATGGATCATGTAATGTTTAACAATTCAGTTACATTTCTATATTTGTAACTTATTACAAATATAAAGTTTGGATTATATTATTTGAATTATATCCATATATCTTAACTATCCAAAAAGATAATATCAAATTAAGAGCATTCTATTAGCTTAGCAGTTATAACTGAAAAATTTGGTTTTCCAGTTCTAATTACTTATATATCACTAATAAAACTAGTGAAATTCAATGCTGGAATGTAACCTTTAACAACTATTATGCATTATACAGACATAATAGGCTTAAATGCCATAGTAAATGAGTTTATATGGAATATCTAGCACCGAAATGTATCAAAGAGCCAAGATTTTATTCATTTCAACAACAAATTCTCATTGTGTAGAGTGAAAATTAAATTTCTAAAAAATATTTTGTTCATGCTTAAAAATTAAAAAAAAAAAAAAAATTGTTTTGCTAAGATATTTGACAGTTCTACCAAGTATCACATGTAAGACTAGTTCAAAAGCAAATATTTTAAGCTAGCAGGATTCAAAACACACATTTATGAAAAACTTGTATAAATGGAAAAAAAAAAAAAAAAAAAAGACACTTACCAAAACAGAAATCCACTTTAGGCCGTAGTTTGCGTGCATCACTCACCTATAAAAAGCAAACTCAATTGTCAATATTAAGCTATACTATATTCATTAAACCCCCTTGAGTGCAATGAATGTGTGTGGAAAGTTTGCAAGTGTGAAAAATTTCAGAATGTTTTTTTTTATCAGAAATTTTTAGTCACAGCATGAAAGAATGAAGTAAAATAATATTGCAAAAAAAAAAAAAAAAAAAAAAAAAAAATTACAGTTTTTGTGTTTATCTCATTATCCTTAAATATGGAATTTTATAGAATAAGAACTTTACTTTGTTCACAAGCCATTTATTATTTGATGAATAAATTAATAACTTAATAATGTAAATAAGCAAAGGTTGGCTGCACAAGTTAGTTGGTGAAATCCAGAGCTTTCTTTAAAGTAATATATTTGCTTTTGGTAACTCCATGCATGAGATTTTTAACATCTTTAAAAAACCCTTAACATTACTACAATATATATGCTATAAATAACATTCTGTCTGCAGTACAAGGTTCTACTGATTATAAAGGTTCACCAAGTGACAGTCAAAACATCAGATTCCATCTAAAGTATGATACTAGTTTATCTTGTCACCACCAATTAATATACGAGGAAAACTGATTTCAAATGAAAGGAAAGAGAAAACACTTTTCTTTGCTGGATATCTCCAGGTGACTGCATGAGCTAATGATATTTGGCATCCTAAATCACTTGCATTATTAACTTTGGAAGATTTTCAAAGAATGCACATGAAAAATTTTGAAAATTCACAGGGAGACACTGGTTGCTTATATCGGCTTAATGTAAACATACAAGGCTAGCTTTCCACTGACTAGCCAATGACTACCCAAAAGTGTATCTCCATTTTCATTAATGTTGGTATGTATCAAAAACTGGGAAAGCTTACTGCAAGCTAATAAGGAAATGAAAGATGAAAACAAATGCCATAGCAAGAAAGCAGGACTTGAACCCAGTTTCAAAATATTCTAGGCTTCACTTGAATGAGTATGTAGCTGATACTTGGGACAACTTCTGCAATGCCAGACTAGCGGATCAGCTCTTCTCTTCAACCCATCTCAACATCATGATGAGTGGCTTGCAACTTGAATGGGCAGCATTAGAACTACATGAGGGACACATTATCCTCACAAATGAGTGTTTCAGAACTCAATTCAATCTCAGCTAAGATTGTTAATATAGATCAGCAACCAGAAATCATCAATGTGTGGTTTGTTGTCACTTAACCCTAAAAGTTTTCATTTATTTATTCTTTTATTATTTTTTGATCATGTGGTTAACCATTTTGAGGACCATATCTCACATATTTTTAATGTGTCATAAAATATGCAATACTTGAGACTAGAATAAAATCTTACCTCTTCCCCTTTTGTGGAGGTGTCCCAGTCATAGTGCCACATTAGTAAATAATAGCTATGTGATTTGGTTCAATTATATTCTTAGATTTTAAAAGAAATCTGATTTTATATGCAGATTTCATTTCAAAAGTCATTTATGTTAATGAACTATGTCCACTTGTAAACTGGTACTGAATTACAAGCACTGCAACAAACATTTAAATTTGTACCGTATGCAGTTAATTTTAACTGCAAATGGTACAAATTTAAATGTTTTTTAAAATTGCAGAATTTTGTTTTCATTCATGTAAAAGCACCTCGATAGATAAAATCAATTATTAAACAAAAAAGTACATGTATATAAAATTTTATGATTTAAGATATATAATAAATTCAGCTGTATTAATGTTTAAAGAAACTAATTCAAAATATTGGCTATTTTGCTAAAATAGTATAAACCAGAGCACTCACTGTTGTGTTTCATGAACCAATCTGATATCTATATATTTTTTTTTATTTGTGACATAATGCATTGTCCTGTTGGAAATGGTCACCAGAGGATGGGTGCACCATAGTCATAAATTGGAGCACATGGTCACCCACAATCCCTAAGCAGGCTATAACATTTAAATGATTTTTATTGTCAGCAAGGGTCCCACTCCCAAGAAAAAAATCCTCATACCATTACACCAGGCTGAACTGCTGATACAGGATGGATATATATTTTCATGTTTATGCTAAATTCTGACCCTATCATCAAAATATCACATCCGTAATAGAGACTCGTTAGATCAGGTAACATTTTCCTAATCTTCTATTGTTCAATTTTTATGATACTTAATGAATTGTAGCCTCAGTTTCTTGTTCTTATCTGACTAGAGTGTGACCTGGCATGGTCTTCTGCTGCTGTAGACCATCTGCTTAAATATTCAATGGGTTGTTATTCAAAGATGATCTTCTGTATATAATCGTTGTGATTATTTGGGCTACTGTTATCCCTCTACCAGTTTGAACCAATCTATCCATTCTCTTTCAACCACATTCATGAATGAGTTTTCTGCCCACAGAATTGCCACTTGCTGGATTTTTTTCTTTATTTGACCATTTCCTGTAAACCTTAGAAATGGTTGTGCATGAAAATCCTAATAGATCAGCAGTTTTTTTTTGTTAAATAGTAAGACCCACTCATCTGGCATCAATGGCCATATTGCATTAAGTTACTTAAATCACCTTTCTTTCCTATACTAATGCATGAAATGAAATTCAACAAGTTGCCATGACTATATTTAAATGCTGATTAGAAATTTGTGTAACACAGCATTTGTTCATGTGTACTTAATTAAATGGCTAGTGAGAGTATATTATATACATTTTTGGCAGAGAGAATTAAGATTTTAATTTTACAAGTAAAAATATTATCAAAGAATTTTCCTATTTCAAGAATATCAGGGTTTAAACTACAGTACTACTACTTTCTTATATAATGAATTACATGATTATTCCATCACCCTTGAGAAGTGAATGAAGCTTATAATTATTGACATCAATCAATGTCAAATTCATGAATTTATATCATGTGTTACTCATCAGATGATTCAGAATGGCTGTTGATACTTGTACAGTCGTACAGATTTGAGTAAATAAAAGTGCTATATCTAAAAGCTATTTTGAAAACAGTAAGAGAACATGATAAATTAATTTTTTCTCATTTTTGCACTCTGACAAACAGAAAAATTAAAAATGATTGTGTGGTGCAACAATATATACATACATTATATAAAAATAAGCTATCTTTTTATTTTGTATCAATAAATAGAAAAAGCAATTAAAATATTTTTATTGGTCATATTTTACAAATTATTAAAATAGGAGTATTTATTCTTGTTATATAACTGCAAGCACAATAGTAAATAAATAATAAAATGAATACATGTTTAATTAGGCCAATGTTCACTGAAACCTCATAGGTAAATTTGTACAGATATAAAAAATTCTTGAATTTTGAAAAGTTCTTAGTAAATAAACCTACCCTGTGGCTTAATATTTATTTGGATCATAAAGAATCAAGTATGATTTACTTTTATGATGAAAAAAAATCTTCATTGTAAAGATAATATGGTTGCAAACACCAAGTTTATTTTAAGTAAAAATGTGTTTATGAGAGGCTACAGGTTAGATACAGGAATTTATTCCTTATAGACTGATTTGCTTAGACTCATGTTCTTGTCTTGGTTATCATGACAACATTTCAGCCATTGTTCTATCCAACCTTTAGGTGTCACTCTTTGTAGGTAATCTGTGAATTTTTAACCAAACCTTTTATTCAATCCAGGAGGGTAGATTATTTTAATTCTACTGTCCATGCTTGTACCAGTTAAATTCTATCTAGTTAAATTCATCCTTGTGAAATTGCTTGTCTCTTTCACTAAACTATAGTATATGATATTTTACACTATTTAATTCAGGGATTGAACTCAATTATCATGTAACTCGATTCCCTTAGAACAATTCAGTAGTGAAGCCTTAAAACTAATGTTACTTGTCTGCCACTTCAACTAAAAGATTTTCAAAATGCATAAGTTTTTATACCTCTGTATAATTACTTGTAGTTTTTAGAGAACGTTGACCTTATTAGATATGTATTAATTTTATAATTCTTTATTAAGAGTGTTTTCTACAAATTTGTAAAATGTGACTATTTCTACACTGTCATTAGATAAGTAAAGAATAGAGTAAGAAATAGCAAAAGTGCTAATGGCGTAAAAATGTTTAAAAGAAAATCTGTATGCTCAGATTGTCTTGTATAATTTTTAATGAACGTGCATGTTTGGCAGAAATTGAATTCTCATATCAAAAGGGACAAGTAATTATATGAAATAATTACATGATTGCAAAGAGAATATCAATGTTGCATTATAAAAATGAGCTGGTTAACCTTAACACTGCAAAGATTATTTAAATTTTTTTTCTTCTCTTGAATTTATTAAATGTGCATAATTTAATTGAAACTGCTGCTGCTACCATTGTAGCTTGACTCTGTAACTGTGCACCTTGTGTGCCCATGAGAAAATAACTTTTCTGTGTAATACTGTCAGCACAAAGCGATGATGACAGAGCCACTTGTAAGAGTTAAGGATAATATAATGTTCAACTTGTTTCATCACTCAACAGCTTCAACTTGCCCATCTTCAATCTTGCTCATAAATACACAACTTAAAACTATGCAGCTTCTGAGTCAGAGGAAATCAAAGAAGATGGGAAGGAGGTGACAGACAGACAGTAGGAAGTGGGTGAGTGGGTGTTGATAAAAGAGCTTCTTTATTTCAAGACATGCACATTAATGTCTGATTGTATATTCTTCTCTTATGCCACGATGGAAATTCTGTTAACTCACAAGCAGAATTCATTCTTTCTAAAATAGTGGTTGTTCAAATTCATTTAAATTAAGACATTACAGGTTTTCATTCATTAAAAAAAAAAAAAAAAAAAAAATCCATGTTACGAAAAAACATTTGAAAAAATAAAAAAAAATAAAAAAAATGACTAAATATATTTCATTAAGAAAACTAAATTTAAAGCATTTTTTAAATATTTTATGTACACAAATTCAGATTTCTAATTTTTTTTTAATAAGATTGCAAAGAATTAAGCAAAAGATTTCTATTTATAAAACAATATTAGCCTAGTGTGATTCAACCTACCAAATATGAGATGTAACTTTTTTTTAAATCTTAATTAAATTCTTTTGTAGAAAGTCTATTTAACAAAAAAAAAAGAAAAAAAAAAAAAAAAATCAATGAAAGTGTTCTCTATCTTTTAGATTTGTAAAGACTAATAACACCCTTCACTGCATTTTGAATGAATAATACAAGTATTCTATCAGTAACATGGTGCAAATAATAAAAAAAACTAATTGGAGCAATGACAAAAAAAAATATGTTAAGTTCGAATCTTGTGCTTATAGCATGCTAGTCCTAGATATTCAAAGAAAGTCACTAAAAGGTTTTGGTTTAAATAATCAAATGAATGGAATTATAATACGTATTATACTTAAAAATTTTTATGAGATTTCACTTGTTAACATTTATTTTAATAGGTTCGATAAAATATTTATAGCAATGATTTGGAAAACTACTTTAAACCTGAGTAAACTACAAGCCAATCATTAAAGATTTTCTTAATCAACTGTTGTAAAGAAATGTTTAGTGTTAGAAACATGAATATATAAATTAAGTATTCACATTAAACAGAGTAGTTTTTATTTTTAAAATTTGATAATAAAATATAAATAAATAAAAAAAACGATCTAAAGTACAAAAAATTAAGTATCTTAGAAACTTTAAAAATAAAACAACTACATAGAGACAAAAATTCCCAGGTCATGAAACAATTAAAAAGGTATAAAATAAGCATAATTACTTGCTGTCATAGTTTCAACATTTTAGTAACAAATAAAATACTGAATTAAAAGACTTAAAAGTATTCACAAAGTTTAATAATTAAAAAAAAAATGTACACAAAATAGAGTAAAAATTTTTATTATCAATTTGTTTTTCACTATTTCTATTTAATTACATATGAGAAACATAAGCTCACAATTTTCACTGTCAAAATACTAAAAGACTGTAAAAGCTAACAGATTATAAATAAAAGACTAAAACATTGCAGGAAGTTTACCTTTGAGACCTTATGAAGTTCAATCTCCCAAACAGGATTTCGTGCATGTCTATTAAGGTTCTGTAAGACAAAAAAAAAAAAATATTTTTCTTCTTTTTGATTTATTATCTATATTTTAATTCTTAAAGAAAACAGAAATGTTCCGAATTAATATATAAAAAAAAAGTTTGCTGTTAATACAAATAAAATGTTATACTTTAATTTATTACATGTTGGACTGAACAAAAAAGTAGTCAAATAGTGATTTTTTTTTTTTTTCAATATTGATCATTTTATGTTCATGTACATAACCAAAATTTGCACATGTAAGATGGTTATATTTTTTGGAACAATCAAATAATTTTGAGGCATATTTTTCTATTTTTCTGACTAAATGATATCTGAAAGAAAAACATTCAACTTCAATAGAAAGTGTGACACTGAAGGCATAAAGGAATAATGAAAGGTACCTTTCAGAAATTAAGCAAAGTATTAAGAGATAGGAAAATGTTATTAGAGACAAAGAAAGGAGTGCTGAACAATATGTTGTGTAATATCTAATCTTCTATATACCAGTGAATTCTGGGCAATTTCCTCATGTATGAAGAAGAGATTTGAAACAGCAGAGGCATAGCTCTATTGAAAAATACTGAGAAAACTATGGACAATACATGTGAGTAATGTGGAAGTTTCAAAGAGAAAAGCATATAAAAGAGAAATGTAATAGTCAATATGACAGAAATGGAATCCTTGACAAGTTATACAGATGAATTCAGTATAAAATTAACTGAGTTGGTTTCAACATGAACATTCATAATAAAAACAAACTCACTTTCAACATAAACAAATGTTCCTTTGTGAAAAATTTCATATTTTTACATTAGAAAATGGAAGAAAAATAGCATGAGTTCAACAAAATAAATGATACATGAATTACTGTGCCAGGTTTTTACATTAAACATGAAATATCAGAATAATCATGCCTTATTGTAAGTTTTTAGATTAAATCAGTAAACTGACAAGCCTAGTCAAATAAAAGATGCTTGACTTGATGATATTCAAAACAAAGTAACCATTGCTAAGGTGATGTCCCTTTTATTTTCTAATTGAATACTATCATTGTTATAGTATCAGTGCCTAAAATAAGGACTGATTAACATGATAGTGATAATGTTTAAATAAAACTATAAAGAAGGAATGCTGAATTTTTTTTTAACCAAACCAGTAATTGTGCACAAAAGAAATTGTAATATTTGGCCAGATTTTGGAAAGTGGGTGAAGCCAAGAACTTATCAGCATCCCCTTGTAATAAAAAGCTAAAAATGACAATAAAGATGAAAAATAAGGTAAATAAAAAATAAATACTGTATATTTCTGCATATAAGACAACCTTTAAATCCTCCAAATCACCCTTAAAAATTGGGGATTGTCTTATACTACAATTCAAAAAAGAAACCTTAAATTCTGAGTGATGTTTGTCGTTAGGCTAACCTCAGCCTTAGTGCAATAACCAACAATGTAAATGAAAAGATACACATTATCAAATAGACTGATAATAAAAGTAATAAAACCATTTCTACCTTATGTATTACTGGCATAACTTCATAATAAATTGCCTATTTGAAGAATAATTCCATGTCAATGAAGTCAACTTGTATCCATGCAAGCTCAGCTGAGTTTATGTAAACATTGAGTTATGATTGCATTCACATCAAACTTTATCTTCACTAAACTTTCAATAATCATCATGATAGTGTTAATTATGGCAGTAATAACATTTAGGATAACATAATATTCAATTCTCATTAAAAATACATTATCATACTGCTATTAGCAGTATTTTGTGATTGTTGAAGTAAATGACCATTAGCACAGCAGGCTGTTTGTAACTGTTTATATATAGGAAAAGAAGAATTACTACTTGCAATGCAAGAGAACACGTGATGAAATGTAAACAAAACAATGGTTTCCCTTTTAGTGGACATGCATAGGGAAAACATGACATAGAATCTGTTTTATTATTTCGTTTATTTTGAATTTCTAAGGATACAGTGAGCAACAACATTTCCAATAACATTATCTTTACATAATCAATAAGCATTCATTTTTTGTTACAGGTATAGGATAAATTCATGAAATTTTGCAACATGTTTTTTGCCTTGTTTTATCTAAAGGTCGCCTTATATGTGGAAATATACAGTAAATAAAAAATAAATAAAAAAAAGTTAATTTTAAAAAAATTTTCCTTTTCAAAACAAGATTTAAAAAAAAAAATTCTTTTTTTAGATAAACTAAGCATATTCTTTAGATTATGATTTCTCTATCTTATATTACCTAATCTATGATTTATATTTTTTTATAGTTTTATTGTAGCCAATTTTATACATATAGCTTTCTATTGTTGAAATGATATTTAGATCAGATGAGCTCTATTTGTTACAATCTTCAAAGAAATTCTTTCTTTTTGCCACATAAGTGATTTATGGTTAAATCACCACATTTACATATTATTGTGGATTCAATAGTAGCTTTCCATACTTTATATGGTATAACCAAAACATTTTATGAATATTAAAATGCATCAGACTGCTAAATCTGATTTTTTTATAAATATATAGAAAAGTGTCAAAAGAAGAAAAGTTATATACGAGATCAAACTATGAACATTTTGAAATAGTACAAAAATAAAAACAACTTCCAAAATATAAGGCTGCCAGATTTTATGACAAAACCTTTTATTCATATACATTCATAGTATAATTATTCAGTCATTGAATTATTTTCTTGATTTTCTAAGAACTTATGACTACATTTCAGCTTAATGATATATTTCATCATAAAACAATGATTCTGGTTTTGATTTGAGATCTAACCGGTGGAACCATTAATGAGACAATTCTTTTGCATAGAATATAGCAAGTTTAAGTATGAAGGACACAAGTCTGAAAAATACACAATATATTTATCCGTTTCATGATTATCTGCTATGCTGCACTTTTAACATGAGGATGGGCATTTGTCATGCATAAAAAGTCACTGGTTGGCTTTGTTATTCAAAAAATATATTTTCTTTTGCAGTGAATATTTCCAGAGTTAATTGCCTACTTGAGCATTATGTAGGTTTGAATAACTTGTAATAAAGAATCCCAGTTGAACTACACCAAAACACAGCTAAGAACTTTTCCTTTTCAAAGTAAATTTGTTTTAGATATTTAAGGATGCTCTAGTTTTTAATCCTATTTTCTTTACTAATTATTATAATAAATTCATTTTTTATTGTCAGTGACTATTTTTCAAGATTACTTTTCCACATTGATTTAGAAAAGTTAAAAAAGAACTGATATTTATTTTTGTAAGTTGATTTGGATCTCATTTTTCTAGCTTCAGAGTTGATTGCACAAATGTTAAGGAGCAGAATAAACTTCTGCAACATTGTGATTTCTTGAACATTGTGTAAAAGATGGCATTGTGAATGTTTGCATCTAATTTATACTTCAGAACTTACATAAGATTATAAAAGGTAGTCAAACATTTGAAAAAATATTTTCCTATTAATTTATTGGCTGCAATTTAACATTATTATGTTTGTATAATTGATTTATTGAATCACTTCAGAAATAGTATAAATATAGTAAAATCAACAGTAGTGAATAATAAAATTGTTAAATAACTAGATAGGTTAAAGTCTAACATTTAAAAACTTCTTTTAATTCAATTTTAACATTTAAAAATAGGCTTTGATTTTGGTTTATATTCATTATTTTCAGCTTACTTCTGTGTTATAAATAGATTTTATGAGTATAAATACAGACATAAAATTCAGAGATATTTTTTAAATATGCTTTATATAAATGTACTTTGTAGATTTCTAAAACTTATTTGCTAGGAAACTGTTATTCACATAGACATTTTAAGCATGTTTAATGCAGATACATGCATCATATAAAAAAAATTAAGATATATTTCCATGGTAGTACCCTAAAAAGATGGGAAAAGATTGATCCAACCTGTTTACAGCAACATATATAACCTATGTGATCCTATGTTGATTGGACCAACCCATTAAGAATAATGCATGTAACATTTGATTCAGTATATATATGTACACATAATCAAGTGGTTAGAATATTCACTTTCTAACTATGAGAACCAGGTTTGACTCTCACCATGATCAATGTGTAAGGAAGGTAACTTCTTGATGTTATTTACATGTGGAAGCAATCCCAGCATGTGGCACCTTTGGAAAATGCTCAAAACCATACCATGAGTTAACGATTTGTAAGTGAAATTTGGTAAACAAAACTATTTGGGAGTTGTTGATAGTTGTAGTAGCACAAAGTCACAAGTCATCATGACTGAGGGACTGAGCATACGGACATTGTTCAGATTGTTGATCATGCCAGATAAAGCACTCTCCTCTAGAAATTGTAACTAATGTCTATTATGCATAGTTGTAGTATAAACCACAAGTGGGCTCTGTGGGTGTTGAACAAACACAAATGTGCCTGAACAGATGTCTGCAACAGAGATTATCTAACCACCCTAGTAGACAGGCATACCTGGACATGATTGGGCAGCCATTATTTATATATATATATATATATATATATATATATATATATATATATATATATGTGTGTGTGTGTGTGTAAAGGGTTACACTCCAATCATTCCTTTGTTAAGCAAAGAAATGTCATGCCATGTTGAAATTCACACTAGACTGACCTGTAGTTTTGTTTTTAAGGTTAATAAATGCAGCCCCCCACCATTTTTTATTCTCTAATGCTGCTTCCTACTTATTACTTAGACCATATCCCAGAAGGGCCAGTTTTATCCTAAAATAATAAAATTGCATTGCTGTTAACAGGTTGTTTTTATTAGTATATTTTTCCCTATTTTGTTCTTGTATGTTACCATTTTCTGGTTAGCACCATTAAAAAAAAATCCCCCTTTGAATATGGATTGCTCACCTGTATAAAGTCATGAATGGATGATTTTAACAGTGTGGTTAAAAAAAAAAAAAAGCAACAACTCTTGGGGTGATAATGACTCATCTCAAAATTACAAAGGCCATCTGCCTA